TTTAACCTGAAACTGGGAACAATAAGAGGGCTCCTGATTTCAATCGTATCCAATGTGGTTGCTTAAAACAGTTTGGCGGAACCTCTGGAACACAGTGATTTTATTCCAGGCTTGAAATTAAACATTCTTTTTTGTTCTATACAGGTACCTATTATAATTATATGGGATATGATATTGCATAACCATAATGCATCAAAAAGCATAATAAGGTTTAGATGGTTGGGTTTAAATGCCACTTCTAGTCAAGGACTTTTATTTTCCAGAACAATAGTTTACTATCAGATTTGATTCAGAACTGAAATTAAGCTCTTTTCTTTTTATTTAGAACAGTATTTATTTTCAGAAACTGCTTAAGTGTTCCATTCAAGAGTATTTCCCATCCCAAGCAGTATGCTATTTTTCAAATTCTCATTGTTCTACTACGTCAAAGTAGAAATCCAAACAAAGTATCAAAAAACTATAGTTCCTCACATTCTGTGGTAGGTTTAGAAAGCCACATGGAAAAGGTAACAGTGATGCCTTGTGAAAACATGTCCCTGTCACTTCTCAATGTCCTGTGATAGAATTCATGATATAAAAGGGGTACATAGGTACCATCAAACAAAGGTGGAAAGTTATAGGGAATTAAATTCCTGCTAAATGCTGATAAGTTCTTGCTCTAATCCACACAACCCAGTAAGATGTTATGTGGAATTATTTCATCAGGGTTGCTTTTCGTTTTACATCCAGCACTATTTCCCATTTCCTTTGAATAACAGTTTCTGTTAAATGGTAGGCAGACGATTTCCAGACAGTGAAATGGCTAAGAAATATTCTTTGGATGCCCAAAATTCAATCACTTTATTTTTTGCATTATAAGAGAAAAGCATGCAATAATTTGAAAAGCAATTGTTACAAAGTTCTGGAGAGCAAAACACATACAGTTTTCATTGAGTACCAATGGAAGTTTTGACAAGTACTTGCCACTTTGAAGATTTTCAAGGTTCAATTCAGGTTGGCTGGATATGCTTACATTAAAGCATGCAAATGTTTGAATGTTGAAAAGTTTTTTCTCCGCCTAGAGTAGCTGGTGAGCTCTCACACATTATTTAGATCTATTTCTTGGTTTGATATTCAAGAAAAATGTTCCCATAGTGTCAATCTCTGCTTCAGCCTCAGACACCAATGCCTTGTTTAGATCTATCCCTTTCAGGGCTTAAGAGACAGAATGCATGGTGTGGTGGTAGAGAAGTGAAATTAAATAGTTGCAGGTTGGGGGGGGTGTTAAATTTCTGATGCTGGTATATTGGCAGGAGAAGGAAGCAAAGCTATTAGAAGAATGTTGGGAATGACAGTCGTGGAAAGATGGAGGTGACCCACAGAAGAGCTGAGGTGACTCAGCAAGGGCGGGGGAGGAGGAAGAACTGGGGCATGGAAAAATAATAGAGGAGCAGGAGAAAGAGAGTGGACCAAGGATGTAGGGATGCTGTAGAGAGCAGTAAGTGGGGATAATGAGTTTATAAGGCAATCTATATAGAGGAGAAAAAAATAAAACAGGATTGTGTGTGTATATTTATTTTATTTATATTTCAAATTTAAATACCACCCATCTCACAAGGAAGTGTGAGACATGTGTTGAGTTTGGTATGTGAGTGGGAACATTAGTTTGGAAGGAAATTATTCCAGGAGAGAAATAAAGTTGTAAGTTCGGAGAAAGAGAGGGCACTATGGGTTCATAGTCAGCCAGCTATAAGGTCATAGCTTGTTCTGAGTGAAGTTAATTTGTCTTGGAAATAGTACATTTAATTTTCTGTATCTGTCTTTTTATTAGATTCTTGAGTAACAACTATGATCAAGGGAACTTCTAAATTAATTTTGCTGGTAGTAGTTTTGTGACTGTTTCTTGATAGGATCAAATGTATCATAGGGTTAATCTACCATATTTACGTTAAGGTTTAGCTACTGTAATACACCTCATGTAGAAAGATGGGAAATTCGGTGAAATGGGATACTGATGGCACAATCACAAACAGTCCCTGCAAGAAGGAAAAAAATGGAAGAAATCAAAAGAAGCCAGTGTGAATCCATGCCAAGCTCACTAAAATGCAGAAGAGGAAAAAGGATATGTAAAGGAAATAGAAGGAAAGTAGCAAAACCAAATAAATAATTCAAGGTAGACTCCAGAAGCTGTAGGTACTCTGTCAGAAAAGCTAAAGCTCAGAATGAGCTGAGATTTGCCAGAGATGCAAAAATAACAAAAATATGTCCTTTGGGTATGTTGGAAATAAAAGGAAAGCCAAAGAGAGAATAGCGAAGTGGTCATGGGTGATGGTGAGAAATTCTGATTTTCTCTCAGAAGGAAAATGAAACTGTAGCTGATCATGGTAATGCCACTGGGGGAAGGAGGGTACTACAGCTTAGGACAGACAAGAAGAAGGCAAGAAGAATTTAGCTAATTTAAATTAATTCAAGTCTCCAGACCCAGATGGATGATATCCCAGGGCACTGAAGAAACAGAGATGATCACAGAATACTTTCAGCAATCTTTGAATACTTCTGGAGAACTGGTGAGGTCCTGGAAGAATGGCAGAGAGCGAATGTCATCCCCATCTTCAAAAAGGGAAAGCAGGGGGAGACTGGCAACTACTTGGTATTGATCCTGGGCAAGTTCTTTGAACAGATTATCAAGCAGCAGATTTGTGAGTGCTTGGATAAGTATGCTAGAATTAACAGGAGCCAGCATGGATTTGTTGCCAACAAATTGTTGGAGGAAAATATTAAGTAGAGTGCCACAGGATTCTGTCCTTGGCCTCATTTCAACATTTTTATTAATGACTTGGATAAGGAAGTTGAGGGTACACTTAAAAAAGTTTGCAGATATCACAAAGTTGGAAGAGGTGGCTAATACTTTAGATGAAAGGAAGATTATTAAAAAAGGTCTGGATAGGATTGTACAGTAGGCTGAAGTAAATAGGATCAAATTTAACAGGAAGAAATGTGCAGTTCTGCCTCTGGGTAGAAAAAATGTAATACCCAAGTATAGGATGTGGGAGACCTGGCTTGGCAGCAATACATGTGAAAGAGATCTGGACAGCCTTGTTGACCATGCTAAATAAACATAAAAGGTTGAATGTTCTCTTGGGTATATCAACAGGAGCATAAGAGTCTAGATCACAGAAAGTAATTATTCCACTCTGCTCTGGTCAGACTTCATGTGGAGTCCATTCAAAAAGGATAGTGACAAGCTGGAGGAAGTTAGAGGAAGGCTACTGGGATGGTGCAGAGTCTGGAAACTAAGCCGTTTGAGGAACGATTAAAGGATCTGATATATCTAGCCTACAGACTGAGAGAGATAGAATAACCATCTTGAAATATCTGAAGGGGTGTCACACAGAAGAGGGAGGACATTTCTTCTCTATTATCCCAGTGGGCAGGAAAAGAATGTATGGATTAAACTATAACCAAGGAGGTTCAGCCTAGAGATCAGGAGGAACTTCCTGACTGTATGAACTGAATATGAATCAGTTGAGCAATATGACGTGGTTGTGAAAAAATGTAATTTTTAAGCTGCATTTATGAAGCAATTTCTTAGTTACAAGAAGTAGGAGTTGTATGTCAGTCAAGCATCTTCTGGCATACCAATCACAAATCTTGAAGTATAACATGGAAAATTATACTTTCAAGTTCAAAAAAAGGCATTAACCCATGGAAAACACAGTCTTTAAGCATAAAAGTTGAAAGAACTAACTCTCTGCTTCATCTGTAAAAGAAAAGAATGAGATGAGACAGGATAGCATTCTGGAGGACTGCTATAGAGGACAAAAACTTAGAATCATAGTGTTGAAAGAAATCTCAGAGGTTATTTTGTCCTACTTGGGTGGGTGGGCAATCTGTGTTGCCCCAAAGGGCAGGAATAGATCTGATAGGTTCAAGTTACATTCTGAGAAACTTCTTAATCGTAATAGCTAAGGTTGAAACCAATTAACTTGGGTAATGATGAGATTATTTATTATCTGGACTCTACATCATAGAAGCTAATCTGTAACAAGTGATTTGTAAATCTTATGACACAAAATCCCAGAGAATTACTCAATTTGATATGCATACTTTAATGACTGAATACCTAGAAGACCTACTTTTCAGCATTGAAAAGATAAATACATGGCCCAGCTACTGAAAAATAGAAGAAAATACTATGTTGGATGTACTCCCAGCTATAGTATATCATTAAAAAGTAAAGATGGATACATATCCTCTGCTTTATAGATAAATGAGGCAGGCTTGTCTATTAAAAATATGGGACACCCCCTAATACTTTGTTTGGCATGAAGGGGCAGAAGCAAGAAGGAAGAGGGAAGTGCTCTTGCTCCAGATCTGGTGAGATTTTAGAAATAGTCCACTATCTTGATGTCTGACAGTCCTAAGAAAGTAATGCAGACCAGTACAGTGTAAGATAACAAGAAACAGGATTAAATGTTGCACATTAATTTGAATTTTGTCATGGTTCTATTTTGGATGAATGTTCCAAATGCTGATAAACTCCACTTTATAACATACATACTTTTCCTGAGTGCATTTGAGTGCTTTATTTCAGAAAATAGCTATTTCCTCAATCTCCTTTATGGCACATCACCATCAATACCAAGATATTTCAGTAGTTGAACATGCAGAAATCTTAATACGCTTTAATAAGTAATAGCTGGCCTTTAACAGTGATGAAGGGCATGTAGGTGGAGTACAGACCAGATTAAGAATAGTAATTTTTCATTGCTTGCTGTAGACATTGAAACAATTGTGTTTTTTTTTTTAAGTCAAATCTTAATATAGCAGCACATATTTATTACAGAAAATCCTTTTATTAGCCAAAGAAAGATAGAAATGAATATAGAAATGTATTGTGTAAACAACCTTCGTGTGTAGAAATTGTATAATGTATGTGACTTATGGGTTTGTGTTCCAAAATCAACACTGCATTCTCTTTTCTGACAGGTATCGTTTATTTCTCTTCCTTATCTCCATAGTAATATGCTTTGTTGTGACCAAGTCCTTGCTGATGACCTGCTGTTTGCCCATCTTTCTAATGGGCATGAGGTACTACTTCAGTAGAAAAGTTATCCTCAGCTATCTTGAATGCGCCCTGAATACGGACATGTCTGATATTGAGCAATATTACATGAAATCCCCAGGTGAGTAATAAATCCATGAAGGAACTGAGCAACAACCCCTGCTTGTGAAATAGAATAATTTAATATCTGCCCTTGCATCCTAACAGATGAGGAATCTATACATTGTTTAGAATATAGCTCTTATTGGCTGCCTAAGGGGGCCTTTGTCTTTAAATGAAAACGCGAAACAGTGGAAAAATATTCTGCCATTTTTTAATGTTGCTACTTGGGTTTGCATGGAAGCATTGAAAGCTGAATCTCAGCAAATTCTTTGGGTTGCATTTTCGTTGTATTAAGCAGCTAATGCTACAGGCAATCCAGTTGATAGAACTTTACTTGGTTTTTCTGTTCAAACATCTTGTATGTCTTAATGTATGGTAGCATCAAAAAAAAAAAAAAGGAAGCAGCTCTGGGGAAAGATTTGAAGACTATTATTTGAGATATTTGGTACCTATACAAAAAATGAACAAACCAATTTCTACACAAAAAATATATGAATCCCGGATATGTGGAATATATATCTGGATAGCTAAAAGGGAAAGACTCTTTCCAGTTGAGTTCAATTCCTGGTGACTACGTGGGCACTATGTAGTTTTCTTGGCAAGAAGTGGTCCGTTATTGCCTTCTTTTGAGATCTTTAATCCAACTTCTAGATGCACCTAGAACTCTGAGGTTTGGGTCAGTTGCTAGTTGACTCCCACCTCAAGTACCAACCTTGTCTGGTCTGTCTTAGCATTTTCAAGACCAGCCAGATTGGAAACTGCAAAAATTCCTCTATTATAACGTGGATAAATTTGTACAACAGATATGCTACTCTGATTTATTGAGAGGGCTGTGTGTGTGTGTGTGTGTGTGTTTTCTTTTAAAAACCTTGCCAAAATAGAAAGCTTGGTACTTTAATACTGTCTTTTGTATTTGTTGTATTCTGCCTCAGAGTAAGAAATACTGTAAAAATTTTCTATGCAACCTGTGTGCGTATATGTATTAACAATTGCCCTTGTACTACATTTGTTAAGTGTTTTGTGTATCCCCAAAGTGTTCTACGAAGCACTTCTTTGTCTATATAGGGTTTCTCTTCTTTGAAAATGGTATAATGACCTTCAGTTTGAAATCTAGGAATATTGTTCAAGTGATTTATGAACCAAGATGTAAGATAACCACATTTTTATCTATTTAAGTAGAGATTAGCCAACAAAGTGTGTCTTTTAGTCTGACAGAAACCTACCCCAGCTTATGACATATGAGTTTATCATAACCATTTGAGGGGGGGCTTGTTTGAAGGAAGTATTGGAGGGGAGGAAAGCCACATTCCCAAGACTGGCACTGATTTGCTGACTGTATTTATCAGTGTCCAGTGAGGGAAGGGATTGCCTTACAAAGCAATTCCCTGCCCACAGGATGTCTTGAGATTTCCTCATCTGAAGATACAGAAAGAGGTTCTCCCGTGGTGGGGATGCCAAACCTCTGTTGTCCCTCCCAGCTTTCAAGAAACTTCTGTATCTCTTCAGATCAAGCGTTGGTTTAAAAAAAAAAAAAGGGTGTTGCATATTTGCAGAATCTACAACCCCCCTCTACTAGTGAGATGCCCCCAGAAGAGGAAGAAAATTATGCCACTCTCAAGCATCTTTTCCCTTCCCCCCATGAGCTTGGGGAAGAGGAAAGAATAAACTTTCTGCCATTTGGGTGGCTCTGACATCAGAGGAGCTTATCCCATTGGATAGGATTTCACAGCTTCCCTTTAAAGATTTCAGAGTGTGGATTTGCATTGATTTAGACAAATTGCAAGTCAAAGGGAGTTCCTTGCAGCAGTTCCTTGAAGTAGGACAAAATGAGGTGGATTCACTTTGGAGTGGCTGTTGCCTTAATGGGGATTATAATGAGACTTTTTGGAATACTGTAAAAGGGTTTCATTTAAAAGAAATGTTTACAAGATTCCTCATATCGTTTAAGTCATTTTTGCTTAATATGGTGAGTGGTGGTGGTAATAACTTTAAATAAGCATACAAAGCAATTTAAAAAAATAAATTATGTTCATTGCTATCTAGGAAAGAAATCATATCAAAATGGAATTCAAGCTTTCACTGCCAATGTAGTCAGTTTCTCCAGAAAATACTTCTTTTTTTTCATAATTCCGTAATGCCTTTACACAAATAAAAACATTGCTTTTCTAAAAAGCACAATTTATAGATCTACGGGTTGGAAATTTCATATTTAAAATTGGTTTACACACTTTTCAGATCAAGCCAATGGTTTGGATCACAAAAGGGGAGACAATATATTAGGAATCAGTAGAATGCACACTGTTTTTACACAGTCCAGATCTTTTATGCCAGTTACTGAATGTTTCATACTTGTTGTTTAATTGATCAGGTGTTCTGAGGCTAAGATTTTAGGATCCTCCTCTGTTCTCTCTATTACTATGCTTGTATTATTTGTTTTACTGATTCAGATAAATATTTCTACATTCCAGCTATTGGAAAGCTATTGATTGATACATACAAGAGATATATTTGAATGTGGGAGATCTCTGTTCAGTTTATGAAGGTTTACAAAGATAAAGATTGGTTTGCATGTGTAATTTCAAATTCTTGTACTAGCTAGCAAAATCAATCAAGTCAAGTTAGAAGTAGCTATTTACTCACTACTAGCTTGGCTCTGAGAAGTAGTCAGTGCTTTGAGAGGGTGTTCACATCTCCTCTAAAAGAAGCAATGGTATGTCCCCTGCTCAAGAAGCCTTCACTCAATCTGATTATTTTGGATAACTTTAGATTAGTTTCTAAACTCCCTTTTTGGGGGAAAGTGGTACAGAAAGTAGTGGAATGCAACTCTCAGAGAAGCAGATTATCAGGACCCATGGCAGCTGGTTTCAGGCTGAAGTTCAGCATGGAAACTGTTTGGTCACACTTGTAGAAGCCCTTTGGAGAGACTGGGACCAGAACATAACAACCCCTCTGGTCCTCCTTGACCTCTCAGTGGCTTTCAGTGCCATTAACCATGGTATTCTTCTGGACCAGTTCAGCAGGAGTGGAGTGGGGAGCACTGTTCTTTGACACTTTTCCTTTTTCTAAGGGGTCAGTTCCAGTCAGTGGTGGTTGGGAACAAGAGATCTGCCCAGAGACCTCGACTTGGTGCTGCTGTACTTTCCCAACTTCTTTTTAACATCTGCAGGAAACTAGTGGGGAAGACATCCATTGGCATGGGATCCAGTGGGATCCATATGCTGGTGGTAGCTAGCTATAATCTCAGCACCAGGCCAAACAGATGGTAAAGTAAAAGTGCTGATCCAGTGTCTGGGGGCTGTCAGGGTCTGGGTGAGGAGGAACAGATTCAGAGTGAATTCCTCCAAGATGGAGTGGCTTTGGTCTGTAGACCAAATGATTCCAGGGAAATGCCACCTTTGATTCTGAAAGGGGTTTTACTACTCCTGCTCCAAAATGGAACACAGTTTGGGATCCTCCTGGAAGACAGCTGCTAATTAATCAGCAGGTGACAGCTGTGTCTGGAGGGCTTTTGCACAATTACATCTTATGCTCCAACTGCTGCCATTCCTGGATCAGAAGGTCCTACTCAGTCACTCATTCCTTACTCACCCTCCACTTGGATTAACTGTTAATGTACTGTACATGGAGCTGCGCTTGGAAAGCATTTAGCAGCTTCATCTGGTACAAAATGTGGCAGCCTGGGCAGTAATGGGTGTATCCTGACATACTCAGGTGACCCCAGTGCTTCAGGAGCTGCGTTGGTTGCCACAGCTTCTGGGTACTATTTAAGGTGGTGGTTGTCACTTTTAAGATTCTGGACTTGGTTATCTGTGGTACTGCTTCTCCTATATTCATTCACCCATCCAATCAGATTGAACAGGATCAATTCCCCCCAGGACCTATCTATCGAAGAATGCCATCTGACAGGACATTAGGAAATGGGCATTTTTTGTCATTGCCCCTATGCTTTGCAACTCCCTCCCTGCAGAGGTTCAGTCCACTCTTTACCTTCAGAGTTTCAGGAGAGCAGTTAAGACATAGCCCAGGATGAAGGCATGCTGTGAATGTCGGGATGTGCTAGTTACACATGACTTGGTATATTTGTCCCTTAAGATCATGTTGGGATTTTTTATTATTCCTTTGGGATGGGTTTATTTATTTATTGGAGAAGTTCTTTTTATGATATTTTTGAGGGTTGGCTGTACACAGCCTTCATACAAATTCAGTAAATAAATAATAACAATACTACTGTTACTGTCCTTTATGGGTCTGGCCTAATTGGTAAAATAACTAATGCTAATTTTTGGTTTTGAGCTTATTCTGTTTTTAAGAAATTAAACTGAGTTAATGGTCACGATCAAGTAAAAGGAGGACCAAGTTCTGTCAAATGACCAAGCCCACCCTCCTCCTTTACAAGTCTGCCTAACCTACTTTTTGGAAGTGTTTTGTAAACTAGTTGGGATGCAAAACCAGGATAATCCTGAGAAAGCTGGGATGAATGGTAAGCCTGTGTTTGTAGAATAAGGAATTCATTTCTGCTTGGGAAGAGTCCTGCTACAGCCAGTACCCTTCGGGTAGGAGGAGATATTTTGAAGATCAAGTGCAGATAGAAAGAAAGCTGCTTTAAAGAACAACTTATTTAAATTATTTTGGAAATGAGGACAACTGAGTACTGAGTATTGAAAGTTTTTAGTTTAGTTTCATTAGAGAGGTTGTGTTTTTAATTGCAAATAATACATTTATTGGGGCATGATGGGAGAGAGGAAACCTTACTTATTTGAAAGACTTGCTTTTCATACTTGGTTGTGTGTGTGTGGGGGGTAGAGATAAGACTCAAGACTCACCAAATGTATTTACAAGAAAAGTCAGTTGGGAACCTACAAAACAATACCTGAGAGCATTCTAGCAAGAAAATAAAAGCAGGTTTTCAGCAAAAAAACAAAAAACAAAACTTGTTTCTGAGTCCTTGTGAATCTTGAAGAGGGTTGGTCTTAATAGTAGAACGCTGCCTGTTAAATAGGTTCTAATACTGCTTCTCTT